AGGGAGGGGGGATGTATTGCGTTCGTTGAGTTTTGTGGGTGGTGTAGGTCTACGCAGTGGCTGCCGACGTCATGTTGGGGGGGGGGGGGGGGCATGACCCCCGTTGCCCCCCCCCCCCCGATCCCCCGCCTGGATCATCCGTTGTCGAATTTTGTTGGTTTGGTCTTGGGTTCAAATCCATTAGCCTTTGTGTGACATGGCGTAGGAGGGCGCCATGTTATAGTTTGCTTAAATTTGGCCGAATATACAACAGATTTTAACACAAACAAATAGCGCCCTCTCATTGTGTCCAACTGTCCATCATCACAAAAAGCCAATGATACCTGGCAGACAATATCCATCAGCAAATTGTATGTCCTCAGGAGAAATCAGCCGGGAACCAGTCAAAAGCAGTATTCACAACACGTGGCATTTTGAAAGGTAACCAGTTTTCGCTGGTCAACTATTTCCTGTGTTTTTTATAGCATTTTTCCCCCGTGAGTTCAGCATCAGCTCTAGAAAAATGAGGAATGGTCTCTGCCGCACCTTTCCTTCACCTACATTGTTTTGTCCAGCTTTTCAACCAATAGGCCCTAATCGCATTCTTCAGTATGAACAAATGCTTGCTTTACAGCATTTAAAAGAAGAAGCTTAAAAGATGACTGATGCTTTAAACAATGTGGTGATACTTTGACAATTGTATAATTGATGCAATTTGGAACATGATTGCTTACATTCTTGCTTTGTATAGCTATGCTTCTTTGGAGCTTGACATGAAAGCAAACATGGAGTCCTATGAGTGACCTACTTCGTCTAGACAAAAACCCGTCGATATATAACCAAAACCACCGACTATGGACTATTTAGACATGAACTTGGGGACGTGATGGCCGGCTGTCAGATTTTTTTTGAACCGTCTGAGAGTGTGTTATTGGGAGACTGGTGCGTGACGGTATGCAACACGGAGCAATTAACGCACAGCGTGTCGGCTTGGGCGGCACGGCGGTATTCCAGCAAAAGAGACCCGGCTGAGGGCTGGCGGTTCGGCACGGTGACGATTACCGATCTGTGACACCACGGGGTCTTTTTTTTTTAGGGGGGGGGGTGTTTTGAGGGAGGGGGAGTGGTGTACAGGTGTTCAAATTTCTTGTTTGTGTTATCAGAACAAAGTTGATTTGAGTGTATTGTGACAGTTTTTGTGAATTTTTATATTTTTATGCCAGCCCCTTTGCAGGGTTGGATACGATCAGAACAGAAATGAATTTGGGTTAAAAAGTTTGAGTTAAAATTTCAAGGCTTCGTCGACAGAACCGTGGTCAACGGCAGTGAGTTTTGAGGAGGATGGAGGGAGGGGATTCAAACCGCCACTGGTTGAAAGGCCTAATTATTTTATTTTTGGCGGGGGGGAGGGGGGGGGGGTGACCGACGGTTTTCAAAGCAATCAGTACTAATGGCCTATACTTTACACTGACAATTTGTTCTTAAAGTACTGGGATACCGATTGCGAGATTTTCGAAACATTTCCAAAACGAGTTAAAATCCTCTGTGAAACGCTTTGAGCATTTCAGATGATGACAAACAGTAGATATGGTGGACGCCTTTTAATAAACTCTACCTTTTGGGTAGACTTTGAACCAAAATCCTATAAACCCCATTTAAAACATGTACTCGTGGACTTTCAACTTTCGATATATGACTGTATTTCAATAAAGTTGTTTCTTTTTGCCTCAAATAAAATCAATCCACTTTGTATGATTCGTTTTGCTTATTTTATCTTTCCACCAATCCATTGCAATAGCCTCCCTCTTTTAGATGCTAACAACCCCGCCCACAGCAACTTGGTTCCGCATTCCGACACGTAGGCCTACATAGTCATTCTTAATACACAAACGGATATAACAAACGGATATAACCGGAAGTTTTAATTGGTCATAATTCGCATTTAGTCCTTTTTCACGCCTGCTTACACTCCGTTGTAAGGGAAACCATAAAATAATTCTCGTCTCACGGTTTTTTTTTCAAGCATCCGATCTCCGCGACTTGACGAAGACATAATTTTGGTTCACCACAAGAAAGAGAACACGACAGGCATATATCCCGTGCACGAATTGCGCTGGCGCAAAGCCGGGGGATAATCCTCTGGGTAAATCTGCCCCGGATCGGTGGGCCGCTTTGATCCGGTTAATCCCCAAACGGATTAAATAGTCAATACTGCGGTCTTGCACTGATTGTTGATCTAGTGGGTCTCTGTTGACAATGGGACTTCCGATTCCTTGCGTTTGTGGAGGAACAAAGGCCGCCTCGCAGAAGAGAGAGAAAAAAATTGGAATAAACAGAATCTGGAAACAGATTTTTTTGTTTCCAATAATTATAAAAATCGACCCTTGACTTTTATGATTCAATGATAACGAAACCTTTCAGAGACATTTATTTTGGATACTTCAATTTTAAGCCTGAGCACCCCCGAAAAAAATTATAATGGAAATTTTATGTTTTACCATTTTTTGTATGTTTATACATGTACCATAGAACAAGAAAACAGCCCTAGTTTTTAAATTTTTAAGATCAAACTACTGAATGTTCTGATTTGCAATGTTTTTAAAGTCGATTTCGTCTCCCAATGTACCGCTTGAACCACAGGACTGTTTATAAAACACCTCATTAATAACCTTGCGGGATGGAAGCACTCCCAATCCCCGCTCGAAGCCTGTCCCCTCCCCCTTCCTGCCCAGCTCAAAATTTGGTGACAATCAAACATGACCCGGCTCAAAATTTGGGGACGATCAAACATGAGGGTTTTTAAAAATTATTTTGAAGAAATATAAGTTCCCCATTCAGAAAAGAGTCCCCTCAAGTCCTCCCTATTAATTAGATCCATTTACAAATAAAATTTATTACATTTGAAAAATTAAGTGAAAGATTATTTTCGTTTTTAAAAAAATCTTCTGAAAAGTACCGAGCATAATTACGTCGGTAAATGATGGCAACAGGGATCCCATATATAGGGCATGCATTTTTAAATTTACTTCATCTCGCCACAAATATCCATCTCAAGCAATTATACTTTTTACATCAAAGTCAATGATACATCGAACCAACAGATTACGAAACGCCATTGGTCTAATGATACCAACAGATTACGAAACGCCATTGGTCTTTGCATTCACACAGGAAGTGGTACAAGTAAACATCATCTTCGCACCACACAGCGTAAACGTGCGCGAGACATCTGCATCGCATTTTCTGTTTACTCCAAATAAATCGTTTACTAAACTGAGTCACACACAGAGCAAGGTCGATGTTACAAATCTAAATTTAGGGAGAAACTTTCCTTTTTGCTAACTGTTTTCACTAAGTGGGTGGTGGCTAGACGACCTTGCGAAGCCGGGCCGAACGAAGATTTTTAGCCGATTCCTTGGAAGTAATACAAGGCACGGGGGACACCCTATACCCTTACGGGACAGTGGGCTGAGTGACTCATCACCCCTCCATCAAACACCGCAATTAGTCTTGCATGGTCGGCAGACCTCTCCCAGTTAATTGGCCATCAGTTTGAGGAAACTGAAGTCGCCATAAAACAATTAGTCATTTGCCAATCAAACGAGATTTCAGCCGCGGTTTTTAGACCTAAAAGTCAAACGCCGGGACGAATAAAACAATTATCAACTATCATCGTAAAAAAATTGGTAACATAATGTGGGGCAATGTTGTTCTATGCTCTATGTTCTATCCGACAACTGGTATCAATATGTCTTCAAATCTTGGTCGACTCGAGTAAACTTTTATCAACTCTTGGAGAAATGTTGCTCAAACATTTTGACCAAGTTGGTCAAGATGTTGAGCAACAATTTCGCACTTTTTTCCTTTTCAGTTTACTAACCCAAGTTCACAAGAAAATTATACCTCCAATTTGTCGATTCATCGGACCGAAATTTTTCCAAAATTTGTCGGAAAATTTGTCAGGAAGTGTAGTCAGTTTTGAAAAAAAAGTTGGCAAGAATGTTCTGTGGGTTGGGTGCTGAGGTTTTCTTGCACTTCCGATGAGTTTTTATCGTCTCCGGATGCTGGAGCGTCGATTTAGGCACGGAAGAAGAAAATAGCATCAGGGAAACCCCGCATATACCGGGGTCTATGACTCAGCATTGGTCACTGCAGTATAAAATACAGTGATATGACTGTGTTGTGACTTTCCCCACTCCTTTGTTTATGTTAGCGGGAACTTCAAAATGATGATGACCCACACAAGTACAGACAACCTTTGAGAAAAAAGTTCTGGCCACCAAACACCTACCTCGAATTTGCTCGCGGCAAATTGAGACCAAAAACCCGCCGCGGCCACAAAGTAATCATTCCAACCCCAGACTGGCCGCTCCCGAAATCGGTAGACTGAAATCACTTAAAATGTCTTGCCGCTTGTAACTGCAAATGATACTTTTTCCAAAAAGTCTACCTTTTTTACAATGGACCATTGTCATTTTGGCTTGAGGAGATATTTATATGGTTCATTTGATGGGTCGTGCAAAAAAAAAATACAAGTCAACTCTTGATTTTCTCAATGAGGCTTGAAATGTTGAATTATCTCATTATGCCGTGAAAACTAAATGTTGACCTACTACATACATTTGGCTTGTTACAAGTGGAAATCCCCTATTTGTTGTGATCTCACCACTTCCTTATTCAGAAAACATTATTCATTCCAGCACTTTCACTTTGAACAGAACTTTCAAGAATAACAATTTTACCGTTTAGCAAACATGTAAAATACCAAGTCCGAAAATTGGAAGAAAGATTCTAAACCAGAAAATGGGAGTATAAAGGTGAAAGAAATCTGGCAATCGACCCCCTTCCTTAAAAGAAAACTCTCGAATTTAATTGCGAACAGAACAAAAGTGGACTCCAATTTCACAGTAAGAAGTTTCCCCCAAACCAAGTATGGACTGGCCGCTGATCTTGTGCAAACACAAAACGCACGCGGGCCTGTAGTAAGAAGAATTTTGCCTGACAACTGAGGTGACGTCACCAAAACAACTCGGGACACACGAGCGGTTGACACGCACTAGGCTAGCGCTACTGGGATATATAAACCTAAGACGTTCGAGGCCAGTCTTCAGATTCTCAAGTGACGAGGTCGGAGTAGCACGTCTAAAAGTCAGGCTCTCGTGCCAAAAACAAATACCCTGCTATAGTACAGTGTGTGTTGTTATTACATGTGAGACACACGTGAACGATAAAACACCGTCTTCTCGTATTAAGTGTGGAGTGCGCTCGCGTAATGTGACTCGTGACTTCAAGTTCGTCCTGATAACAAAGAGCGGGTTTATTGAACTGTTTTTTTGCCTCATCGGAGAAACTTCTCAGCGGGAAATACTCGCGGATTCAGTGGGAGAGATCGCACTTTTCCACGGCGGAGCTCAAGACCCCGACGACACCATCGAAGTTCTCTCTACACACACTGCGTGGTAAGCACTTCCAGCTGAGCCTAATAATATATTTTTAAGTCCATAATAATTTCTATACGACCATCTTATAGTGTCTTGTAAAACCGCACATGTGTTCTTATTCCTCCATGAGTTGTGTAAGTAGAAACGGAGTTGATATTTGTCATCCTTGATACTTACTCCGAGGTTAGAGCATGCGGGGCGCGGTTGTGGACCGGTTTCTTAATCATTTTAACCCGTTGATGATGGTCGGATCCCCAGCCGAGCGGTGCTTGTTGTCTGCCACAATTAACAGTTGACTCGGTGTTATATAGTCAAAATAAAAAAGACCGACTTGCCTGTTATAAAAGTGCTATTATTCCAGCGTGGCTGGGTGTCCTTCCCACCCCGCCAGGCAGCGCTAGCCAGGCCCGCCGGTCGGCCCTCAGAGAAAAATGAAACACTTCCTCCGTTGATCGCCTTAACGCCCTTGTCATCGCATTAAGCAGTCTTTGATGGGACAAGTTGACTTTTCTTATCCAGAGTTTATCGATTCTTTAAATCTCTCACAGAAGAGAAAGAAACCCGTACGCACTGTATTTTGACATGTCTCTGAGCAATGCTCATCTTTTTCAAGACTTTTAGAATGCAATTCCCCTATTCCCTATGCCACTAAATTATGTAATCCATCTTATTTCAAAAGGGCCCATGTAATGTAGTTTTTAAAATGCAGTCCTTGTATTTGTAAACGCGCCTTGTGTCCTATCTAACCGGATTTTCAATTTTCATTTTACCATTTTTAAGGGCATTCATTGGTGCCTTTTGGGTTTTATGCTAATAAAAATTTGCATATTCATGAGCAAAAGTCTGATGTCATTTCAGGCGGAAACCTCAATATTACAGCTATTTCAGCACCAAAATTTGCCAGAATTTTGGATGTTTTGTAGTCGTAAAATTTCTTGTCTCTTGTGATTTACTGTTGTTTCAGTACGTGACAGTGGGCCAATGAGCAAAGTTTCTCACAAATGTTTTATATGAGCAAATTTTGGCTCACAAATTGAACAGAAAAACCCTAAACTGAACAGTGTCTTCCTGAAGTGACATCAGTGCGACAGCGCCCTAATTTGTCAGGAAAAAATCTAAATGTTTAAAGCAGTGGATTTTTCAATAAGATAAACCAACAACGGATGTCAAATAGTTTTCATACATTTGAGAGGAGTAGAAATTTTCAGAAAAAACATTATTACAAGTACATTTCATGTAAATGGGCCCTTTAATTGCAACAGTCGGTGACGTGGAATTCTGTTATCACCGAAACTCCTTTTCAGTTATGTGGAACATTATTATTGGCAATTTATAAATTCTCACATTTGCAAAATCAGTGCACTATGGCCTACATCTCAACATTCTGGGCTACCGTCTTAAGTACAGAAAATGTTCGCCGTTGGCTATGGGAAGGGAGGAAATTCCCCAAAGAAAAAAATATATACCACTCCTATCTTAAAGCTTTCCCCGAATTTCATTTACGCTGGCTGTATGGAATTATGCAATAGTTGAGTCATATACCATGATATAATACTCGAGTGTAAGCTAGAATGGTGAGCCAAAGTATCTTATGAGGTGATTGACAGCTCACCCGTGGTATAATTTGTAGTCCTGAGATCGTATTCCTAATTCTATGCTTATATCCCACTGAATAGGTTTTAGCGTAGAGAAATCCATTTACGGCAATCGATACCAAGTCAAATTGATGTCTCCAAAGTTTTGCCACAAAAAAAGTCTGGATCTTTAAAAGCGCATGGATACTTAAAAACTAACCGGTGTAATCCGGTTTGCTCTCCTGTTCAAAGTAAAGAACCCTCTTTTTTTCTCAATCTCTTTATCACCGAAAGAGGGGATACATTACCTTTGAAAAGAGGGATCAAGCGGGGAACAAGTGACTCGTTTACGCTCGATGTGAGGCGACATGATACGAGACGGCGACGCAGGGAAAATCCCGTGGTCTTCCGCCCCGATGCAGCTGTCAATTACGAGCATTTTGTGTCGTAATGGCTTCTCTTTAATACTTGTCATTGAAATTTGGAGTTATTTTATGACACGAGAAGGTTTCGCAATGAAGAGTGACGTTTGGGGGCTGGTGTTAGAGGCTCAGTGTGACAGCAGGCTTTGACGGGGTCCCAGACGTCTCCTTAGTTGTAAGGTATTACACTGCGAAAACTACATACAATTTATTCCTTATAACTTACCCGTACCTGTCACGTTGTTCATTGTAGATACCACGTGGTGTACAATTTAACACTGCGCCTGTTTTCGGCAGCGTAAGCACCAAAGCTAGACTTTCTATAATGTGCCCAAAAAGACAGAAATTCGGGGCTATCACTCACCCATAACTTAGATATGATTATGAAAGAAATTGAATTGTTTTCATTGTGTGATGAATGTGCTTAGTAATATACGGTACTCCAAGTGGTCATGATGATGTTGATGATGATGCTGATATATTTTCTAGTACACAAACTATATAACTTGTTGTAGTTTGTTTTGTCTTCTTAAATCCCTCAACTTACCACATTTTATTGATAAATGTGATAGTTTCACTCCAAATCTATCTCGGTAGGGATTCGAACCCCCTTGGTGTGAAGATCAAACCAAGCACTAGGCTAATAGCCTTAACAACCAACACTTCAGACATCTTGAAATACCAACCCAACGACCGCAAACAGACTAGGAGGATTTGTCATTTATAATGAAGATTCAATTTCTTTTACGCCACAAAGTGTGACAGCCTGTCCCTTGAGCTCTCCCCCCAAAAGTCTTGAGTTTTCCTCCTCCTTTAATTGTCGGACCGTGACCGCATCATGGCTGCGTTTCCGGTGATGCAGTTATACTGGGAAAGTACGAAGGTCGAAACCTGTCCCAGATTAGACCTGACATGATGAGTTCGGTCTGTGCAAGCTCGAACAGATGAACTCAATCAGAGATATTCAGATATCACAGAATTGAATCAATCAATGGTTACGCTTATTCCGACCACACTGTGAAGTGTGATTACACAATAGGCGAATGTCATTTTTTTTGCACGTACACAATAAAATTCTATTTATTTGGAAAGTTCTGTAGATTGAGATGGAGCCTATATAGTAAGAGATTATGAAATGGCGCGTGCATAATTACTTTTCTTGAAAATTATCATGCTCGCTGAAAAGTAATGTCTAAGTTCGTAACTGTCCTTTACTTTGGAAAAGGTAAACGTGCTGTGAGCGTTCATCACTGTGTTAGATGTTCTCGATAAGCTAACAAATACTTTTCTCAACTTGTACTATGAATTGATGACGAACTGCTAGAGTAACATTATATGTTTCTGCTACTAAATGACGACTGCTGAGCTTCATCGTCTTTTCCAAACGTTCGTACTCTATGCACGTGACTTTTGTGTCTGGTTATTAATACGAAGGAAGTTTCTAGTTCGATAAGTTACGTGTTTAAGCTCTGATCCATTCTCTAGGAGAAGAAAAACAACGAACATTCTTCAGACAATTTTAAGAATTAACTGAGTTTCACAGTGGGAGAGCCATCACCGAAATACCAAAGGCAGTCAAAAATTGGCCCCGAAACTAGACTTTGTAAGACCCACTGGTCTGTATGGCCCACGCAAGAGCCTCGTGCGCGGTGTATGCTATACGCCAGCCGCCCCCCATCCGACCAGATTATCCGTCTGGGGCTTAAATCCGGATTACAACCGATATCTGTAACTTATTTGAATTCTTCTCGCCGGAGTTAATCTATGTGCCCCCGGAATTCCAAAGCTACTTAATACATATCGGAAGCGATGCTTCGGATGAATTGAAATGGGACATTGATAAAACGGGGGCGGTGTGAGTGTGAGTATTTCGTGATAGTTGGTGGACTCCACAGACTGCTCGCATTTCGACACTGGGTTCGCTGAGCACTTCCGACTAGAAGCAAGCGTTTCGTCGTTCTTGTAGGAAGTCTAGGAAGTTCTATACACCCGTGGTTGGACGTGAACATAGTGTGTCAACTTGGTATAAGGCGCAGGTATGTACACGCACCACAAAAGCTGTGTATGGTAGACATATGGAAATGCTATTTTCTGTATACAAGGCTTTATGTAATTCCGTACATTTTGTTCCATGTCTGCAATGCGCGATCTGATAATTCAAGGCTGTAGCCACAACAGAGACTTTGCAAAAACATCTTTGATGTTTCGTAACAGTCATTTTACAGAGACTCGTTTCATTTATTGCACTCGTAATTTCACTGGAATAAAAAGGCTGACGCTTGTATATTTTCCCCCCATAATTCCGAAACTGAGAATGCTGGTTGGCCCGTGTTGGTATGGCGTATCGAGAGTTGGTTTTGATGGCAAAGCTGAGACAGTGCAGGTGACTGCAGCCTTTTAACGCTGTCCAAACAAGTCGGCAGATGAAATCATTTTTTTGCTTTCTCAGTCTTACCATGACAGGGCCGTGTACATGTCACATGCGTGCTATAGTAGTATTACTGTATTGCCTAGGGTAATGATAATATATGGACGGAGGGCTGATCGTTGCGGTGCCCGGATGAAACTCCACACACACACGACGCCGGTTTACTTTCTTGCACACTCACGCTTTGATCTCTCTGAGAGCACCGTATACTGACAGAGAAAGAGAAGGGGAAGAAACGTGATAGCGGCAACAAAGCCGGTTCAATGTCAAGCCAGCTTGGCCCAGCTCCCGGCGATATGGGAGCCCTGGGAGGGTCCCTTGCACTTTAACGGTAACTGGAGTTGGGCCATACGGCTGTTGTGGAAACACCACCGAAACAAAAAAAATCAGGGGCTTCGAAATAAATGTGCCGGAGACGCGGGGCTCTGGAACTTTGGAAGAATTTGGCGGGAAAAGATATCGAGGTGGTGCATGGTCATGTCTTTGATGATGAGTTTGTGTTCGTGATGTGGAACACACTATACCACGATGTCTGTTTATATTCTGCTCTGAAAAAAATGAATGAAAATTTAGTGCTGATGATATTATCACCAAGTCAGGCGATGATTATAAGTCTCACTTTTATATATTTGCTTTGGTACTTTCAGAAATTGTATCACGGGTACGATATTATGGAATCTACTGGAAAACAAAGTGTTTAGTTTGGTAGATAGAGGGCGCAATCACAAGAAAAACGTGTATTAAAAAATCCAAAACTGTTCTATTTTTATAGAAAAACGAGTTTCTTTGCATACTTTTTTATAGGTCACTTTTTTTTGGCAGCATGAGTACTTCCTTGTTTTTTTTCCTGTTAGAGGAATGAGTCGTTCCCTCGGGATTTAATGCCGTCAAAATGATATCGTACTGCCGGCTACCCGATTCCGGCTGACGTGATGTTTAGCACAACACGGACAAAGCCAAACAGTATGATTTATTTTTGAAAATTGAATCATTTCGAGAGGTAGAGGACGCCCATTATGACGACTGTGTTCATGATTAATGGCATGCACGGTACATCCTGAACTGGCGTTGGTTGCATCATCAGTTCTGTAACGCAGCCAAATACCAAATCATAAATAGTAAATACACCGAGTCAGCTCGCGGAAGTTACCAGCCTCCCAGTTTATCATAGAGAGGTAGCTTCAACGACTGACTAATAATTAAGAACCTATGTCCCCAACTCCAAAAGGCATGCCTTAAAAAGCTGGTTTTGTAACCAAACAATCAACAACGCTAAATTTGTCAGAGCTTGATACGATTCCTCTTGATTTTGTTTAAGGTATATACCACCACCATGTTGAAGTCCATCTACCAGGGCCTGGCCAGCGCCTGCAGTATGGTCGACTGCTGCTTCGGCTTGCGACCCTGCCACCAGGCCGTCTTCCCCTGCATCCGGAGCTGCTCTTACGGCGACCGTAAGGTCTTCTACAACTACGACGGCACCGAGACCGTGGAACCCTTGGTGGACTACTTCAAGCCCACCAACACTCCAGTCAAAAGGAACATGATCAGGGGTGAGTGATTTTTTGTTCAATATCAATTTATTTCATTTTCCGGTCGGAATCTCCTCGGAATTCGAATATTTAAACTGCCGAGATTCGGTTCGGTTATAGTTATGGCGATTTACCCCACTCATAGAAAATGCGTTTCAAGTTGATGACAGGTCTGTAACACTCATCCGCATCCAAACTTGTCAGGCAAACATTTTATGAAGTGGGTTTTTATTTAATTTTATCCACTTTTGTACCTTGTAGTTTGGTTGGGGTGATAATGGACAAAAACCAACTGTTTGTGAGTCCGTTGGGGCAATGTAAAAGACATTGCATGGGTGGTGTAGCCCGGCCCGACTTGCTTTTAAGGTAGTTAAATTTTAGTATAAGATAATCTCGGGAGATCTGTATGGGAATGTTCTGAAATGCAAGTTGTAAGCCCTTAATGTTAGTTTATTGCCGAGCATATGTTTCGTTGGTAACCCGTGGGACAACAAGATCAGGAAAAGGGCATGGTTTCTGAAGTGGGTGGCCAAAAGATCCAGTGAATCCTTCGCTCGAGATGTTCACGGGATCGGCAGCCGCTGGCGTCACAACTCGGTACATCTCTGTTCTGGGCCAGGGAAGGCATGCGTGATAAATCACTACAGAAACTTTCAGACAGATTGTGAAAAAGGGGGGAAAAAGAAGGAAGAACTCTGTTGGGGTTTTGTTGAAGTATTCTTGGGGTGGGAATGGAGGGTGAGCGATGACGATAACGGGTCGGGGGAAAGGGATTGCAAGACTGACAGATCAGAGATGAGACGAAAAGAGTATACCGCATCGCGTGCGGCACCCCTAGACAACCACCCAGCCATGGCCGAAGGGCTCTCTCGCTATCAACCCCATCATTGCGTCTTAATCACCGGCAAGACAGTGCAGTGAACCACTGCGGGCCCAAAGAGGCAAAGCATGGGTACCTGATGGGTGCGCCGTGGTTTTTGTAGTCTCACCAGCCCTTTTAAGAGGAAAGAATACAACATGAAAATCTTGCTCTTCATCCCCCGGGAATCCTTCAGACTTTGGAATGTTTTAAAATAGTGCAGTTGCCCATCACGTATATACTTGGTATTTGTATAGTGTCGTGAAGGGATAAAAATGTTAAATGCCACACAGCGTTGAACGAAAAGCCAGATGCTATTTCAGCGCCCGCATCGCTTCTTTTTTATTCTTTTTCGGTCGTCGGCTGAGATTTCTAAATTTACCAACAATTTGTTCAAGTACAGGTGCTAATCCAAACCCCTGCGTGAAAAGACTTGAGTGTTCCCTCGGGGTGATCGTTTCGTCGGGCTAAACGCTCGGCACAAGGACAACAAAAGTGCCTGCACTTTTTCTATCGTGACTCTCTGTCAAGTTGTTAACTGGGAGAGAGAGAAAGATAAGAAAGAAAAAAGTCCAAGTAACCTTGTCCCGGACCCGATTTTGCTGGCCCATTACGCGGGGCGTTTCGAGCCTCAAGGCCCCTCTAACCCTTTGCGGTGATGAGGACACGACGCTGGAACTCGCTGGATTCGCCTCCAGGCGATATGAATGCCAACTCATTGACGAAATATGAAAAGATTCCAAACTCGATACCCCAAAACTTGCACAGCCAAGGTCGGGACGTCTCATTAGGCACTGCAAGAAGTCAATTTCAGAGGAATTTGTTGGCAAAATTGATGTTTGTGTGTGTGTAAGCATGTTATAAATAAATGAATTTGTAATATACTTTGACAAACTTCAATGAGCTGTAAGGGGTGAATTCGGTTTTTCATCATGTTAGTTGAAAATGTTGTGCACAATTAGACGGCTAACAAAAAACACTTAATAGAACAGCACGTTTCGATAATAATTTAACCCAAGGTATATTTTCTGAGATCTACAAGTTTCATTCCTCCTCACAAAACAGAGATAAGCTAATTTGCTCATATCTTCCCCAAATTTGTTTATAATAAAAAGACATCAAAAAATCTAATTAAATTTTAATTATCTTCTGAAATTCTTCTAAAACATATCTCCTCAATTCCCCTCATTTCGGTCAGAAACGGTGCCTGAGACTCCTATTCACAATCTTGTACCATTTTTTTTTTAATGATAAATTTTTAGGGATGAAACTGGACAAAGTCGAGCTGAAACAGGGCCTGAACGCCGTCCAACAGATCGCGGCTGTTGTCCACTTTGCCCAGAAGAATGACCTGAAGGTCCGGGCCGTGGGCACGGGCTCCTCTTGGTCCAAACTGACCAACGTCAGGGATGTCCTGATAGGTGAGTACACCATCTCTGGCTCAAAGGTCAAAGTTATTTCTAATTAATTTGGGTCACGGTTGGGTCATTATCTTTATCTATAGACTTCATCGGGGTCACAGTTATGAAATGACGAATCCAATTTTTTGATGTTTTATCAGGGCAGATTTCGTGCTTGGATGAAGGGGGAGGGGTGGTTTAGCAGGCACTTCTTGTGTTTTTCTGTACGATTTTCCTTTTTTGCGGCCCAAGAAGGTGGTTTAATACCCCGTATATCAGCTACTGTACATTTTGGCAACAAGTCAGAGTAACCAACTGCTTATTACATTTTCAAACTCTGACTTGTGATTAACTTGTGCCCGAACTTATGATGCACTTGCCGATCAATTCCAAGTAGGGCCTGCATCGTCTACAAAGCTGCCGAAAACTCAGGACTGACTAAGTTGACTTTTTGTTTGGACACCATCACCAGACATGACGGCACTCAACCAGATTCTTCGGGTCGAGAAGCAGACAGAGGACGGTTCCCTGTTCCACATCGAGGTCCAGGGAGGTATGAAACTCCACGACTTTGTCCGCGTGATCGACGAGGATTACGGCATGAGCCTGCCGTGCATGGGCAACTACGCCGGCCAGACGATTGCCGGCATCATCAGCACGTCCACGCACGGTACGGGACAGGACTATCCCACTATGGTAAGATTTAGTTTTGTAATGAATTCTGTCATAAAATTCTCGATTTGTGTTGCCACACTGCAAATGTTAAATCACACGCTGTCTAAACTTGTTTGTTTTCTTCAGTTTACTGTGCCAAGGTCGATTGTGCCCCAACGAGGGACATAACTGCATAAGGCTCTGGGTTAAAAGGAGACCATAACCGAAAACGCATTCGTTCTTACATTAATTTTAATTTCATTTCAATGCATTTCATCACGTATTTTAATGCTATTAAGTAGTGCTCTCTACACTGCCTAGAGCAGTCTAACATTACCGTGACTCGGAATCTCAAGGGCATCCAAATTCAAGGTTAGGCAGCGAACAAAATCCCCTGTGCTTTCTTGATCTAATCGAGCCCTGGAACCAAGTCCGAAGGATTTTTTTGCCCGGCGTTGCTGGGTGTTCTCCAATTCTTCGAGGACCTGACCCGGCGTAGCCCTTACCTTGCATGGGCGGTCGGTTCGTGTACGTGTCTTTGCCAAAGTTTGAACCGGCCCCGTAATTCACGGGGCCTGTGATGGATTATCATCCACGGCGAGGCAAACTCTCAGAGGAAAGGACGAAGGGGGGAACAAACATTATGATTTCTCCACCGTGATATCATTTTTTGATTCAACTCTGACACCGTTTTAGGGAACTCTATATTCTTTCAGCATGATTGATGGGATGTTTATTTGGATGTACACAGGCTTTTCCTTCTTTTGTTGATTTCCAGCTTGTTCTTTTCTAGAACACAATTCGTCAATAATCGTTTTTGCAGATGACAACATGATCTATATGTCGTGCACGGAGCAGTTTTATGATGTATGTTGTGAGTGACCTAGGAATCAGTTTTATAGGTCAAATGATTGCGGCCACATTTTCCTCTTCTTTTTGAAGACTTTTTCAATAGTTGAAGTATTTTGTTTGTGTTTTTTTCCCCGCAGTCTAACTTTGTAGCCGAGCTTCACATGATTATCTGTGGGGGAATTGAGGTGCGGGTCAGGATACCCCGAGAAGGGGAAATAGACGAAGATTTCGAGACGGTACGTCGGCGGGTTGAAGCTGCCAAGTACGGCGACCCTGTGTTGGACATTCACAGCACCGACGTGTTCCGTGCCGCCGCCGTGGGCTTCGGCTCCCTCGGAGTCATCTACTCGGTCACGCTGACCTGCGTCCCCGTCTACAACATCCGAGAAACCAGACACTATATCGAGATGGACTGGCCGGAATCGATTACTGCCGACTCGAGACCGATCACGCAAGCCCCCGTCTCTACCACCACTACCGGGGGTTTCAAACCGACAACTTACAGCACGAACTCTGAGGCTGGGGAATCGATACCAACGGATTCGTGTCGAGACCAGAAGCCGGTCTTCAGGATACCGGAGACGGTGAAGAGCATGTCTGCCGGCCAGGGGAAGTACTTCTCGTTCTTCGTCAACCCGTTTCCGAGGCGGAGTCGAGAGGATCCGAGCCGGACCGTGCTGAAGAGCGTCTACTTGTCGGGGGAGAGGACGGAGTCCACGGGCAGCTGCCAGTGCGATTGCTGCCTCAACTTCCAGTGCTGCGCGTGCACGGGATGTCGGGGGCAGAGTGCCTGCCAGATCGTTCAGGTAAGTCCAATTCTGGAGCCGAGTTACAGAGATGGAGAGCAAAGAAGGCACCACTTCCCTAACTTGACTTTCCAATGACATCACATTTACGAGGATTATATAACTCATAGAAAGACAAAAGTACTAGAAAGGAAAAATGAAATGTTCTGGTTTTCCTTGCAGACAGACTGTTCTGCCTCGTGCCTGCAGCTGGGAGCTCATTGCCTACCGTCTTTCATCCCGTGGTTCGCGGACTGCGGACTGCATCAGTTCGCCCGAGATGCGCCCTACATCCAGAAATGGTACAACGTGCTCACCTTCACCAACGGAAACCTACAGTAAGTATAAAATGATTCAGTGTTCCGATGTTTTATATCTCTTAACAGCCTTTGGAATAGCACGAGCTACCTCTTAACAGCCTTTGGAATAGCACGAGCTACCTTGCTGGATCCCACAGAATCCAACTATACAGCTGAGAGAGAAGCCTAGCTGTTAAATCCTCTAGAATCCATCAGCCATAACAAAGTGTCCATGCTTTCTGTGCTATAATCAACTACATTCTAGAACAATTCGCTGTTGATAGATTTTGTTGGGTTGACGTTTGCGTTTTAAGAAATGGCTCTGTATATCTATCCTTACTTGTAAATTAGTTATAAAATTAACACGTTGCTACTTGTTTGTTTTTTGATATGTTTTCTTTTTTTTAATTATGCATCTTGAGTGAATTTCGAAAAAAAAAAGACGGTTGAAATGTAGACCTTTAGTCCTGAATAAAGTAACGTATGATTGAAATCGTCCTGTGTCGTCGCGACGAATCGAGAGCAAAACTTCGGCACATTAGGTCAAAGCAAACCAAGCCGAAGTCTTAGTATTGAAGACAAATTGCTTCTCTCACAGTATCAAGACTGCCGAGTACTGCATCCCACTGGAAGATCTTGACGCGGCCCTGGCAGACATAGTCAGAGTACTTCAGGAGTACGGCAAGTTGTACCAGACCTACACGCTTCTGCCCATCTACGTGCGTATGGTCAAGGCGGACGACTTGTACATGAGCCCGGCCAACCGGCACACACCGGACGGGGGTCTCTGCGACCGGTACTGCTACATCGAGGTAAGTTACGGTGATCCACAAACTCTAAGTTCAAGAAAGTATCAGTTTCCACTGAGAAAAAAATGAAGGTGATTTTTATGATTTCTTTCTTCGTGCTCTTTGGGTATGATGTAGTCATGTACATGTACACGCCTGTGCCCTGATGAGTAATGAGAAAATCCCACATTGTTCAATTGCACTTTATCCCAATTCTAGTTGTGTTGAATTAAATACTCAATTGTAGAAACCAAAATAATATAGGGGGCCTACTCTGTTTAAAAAAAAGTAGCACAACTTCAAACTCGTAAATTTTCCAAACTTAAAATTTTCTAGGTTTATCGTATGCGTGAAACTTGGCACGATATACTCAATACTCTGGTTTTGAGATGTCGTAATTCTCCTTTTGCGAATCGCAGGTACGCGTATTTTTCCCTCCTTTGTGACAATCTGACACCTGTATTAAGGCAACAGAATATTTAAGAGCCCTCGATTTCACTTGCACTTTTGCACATCCCGACGAGCCGTATCGGTGTTGCCTTACCGCCATCCCAAGGGAAATCACACCCAAATTTTCTTGAGGAAACGAAGAGTTTATACACGGTCCGAGGCTCAAGTCTGATGTGGTGTGAGCGTGTAAATGAAGACGTGCAAGCGAGTCAAAAGCGCCCAGTTGGGGGCGATTTGGCTCCATTAGGGCCTTGGGTTGATCAGCTGCACCGAGTCGATTCCGAGTGTTATTGTCGCAGTTTATGACCAAATCAAAAAAAAATCTCTTGTGATTCAATTTTGGTGCGTCGGCTGGGCCTGTAGGGCGAGTATGGGTACGGCTGGGGCTAAACGGACAGGCGTCGAGCCAGCCCTGGCTTCGTTTAAGCCTTAATGCGCCCACTGATGGGATCTGTCGACGCGAGTTAACTTTGGAGTTGTCGCCTAATTTGACAATAAGTGACCGTGGAATGCTATCGGAGAGAGAGAAAAAAATCTCGGAATAATTGTTATTTTTGGTGGCTGAGTTGTGTTCCCATGTTCAGGGTCGCGGATTAAACAATGTATTGCCAGATGGACTTTGAAAAGTTATGACAGCCGTACTGCGTCGGATTACTTTGTTTCCTTAAAAAAAATGATCCAACAATCAGCACAACTTGCAAGCTTCACGGACAAAAGACTGAAAAAGAAATGTGCCTACCAGCTATGCGATCGGTTCACTAAGTCTCTTGCAGGCCACTTGCAGAAAGAAGTTCCGTTTGGGAAGTTCTGGATACAAATCTGGAAAAAAAAATTAAAATCACACAAAATTGTTCGTGGTTATGAAACGTTTGTGAATCGAGATTTTTGCTGGAAAATAAATCTGGATTGTTTATGTGTACCCAAAGGGCATGCCAAGTAAAAATGATTACCATTTAAGGTATTTTCACAAAAGAATAATATTCAGTGGTAATGGCAAAGGTAATTTAGTTAACGGTCAAGGTGCACGTTGAAATTTGCTTCAGGGTACTTGACCAAAATTGCTTTACAATGCGGTTGGCAGTTAGTGGCGACTGACGTAATATTTCCCTGGTACCCAACCATTCTTATGTCGAAATTGCGAACTGTGTTGGTTGCGCTTGATGGCCTGATATTGGCACAGGGAAAGTAACCAGTGAAAAAAATAGTCGGGTACCTGTCTGCGCTGGACATCTGCGCTGACCTTTATAAATACAGGCATTGCCGGCTACCAGTCCCAATTTGACCTGTGCTAGAATCTTGGAATAGGGTCAGTGGCGCACCTGGACTGGCTTCGGTTAAACCAAACATGCACAAGTGCATTGCACTAACGTGGACAAATAATACACCTATAACTAACGATCAGCCGAATATTGGGACAACACAACTGTCATCCAATAATAATAATGACGGCATATCTCAGGATCATGAACAAGAGGGAAAACCTCGATAATGACACGGTTTCTGCCGGTCCCGGTCCTGCCTTCGGGCTTTTTAAGAGCGCTTGTTTCCGTCCCCAACCGGCCGGAGTTTGTTTCCCCAAATTACGGACGCGGCTGGTTGAAATTCGGTGCTAGTCGAGGGGAACCGAAAAAGCGGCGTTGGGCACGTTCGCCAGCCGGGGCAGCGCGGGGCGCGGCTCGGGGCGACAACCCGCTCCGTGGTGGCCAGGCCCCGGCACCTGACATATTGACCCCGTGATGGTGGTATAGGCCTATCTCCCAACACCCAAACGAAAATCATCGGTGAACTTCTTGCGTGAGATGGCCCGATGGCCGTATCAGAACACTTTTCCCTTCCGTGCGCGCACGGCAAAACAACTCTCCTTTGCTTTTCTGCCGCTTCCCGTCCGCCAAGCACTTTTTCCCCCAAGCACTGTGTGTCCCAGAAAATGTCCCATGTGAATACGCCCTCTGCACGCTCCAGCAATAATTTTTGAGCCAAAATTTCATGACAAAACTTATAACATGGCCTTGCGGAACTTCAAAGCTGAACAAGGCTATAAAAATGAAAGTACACTTTTGTTGAGAACAGGGTTAAGATAATAAATTATAATAGTACAGATTAATGCATAATAGTGCCACTTTTGTTTGCTGCCCATAGTTGCAAGGGTTAAGAATGAGCTATCAAAAGTTTACAGTAATGTGCAACATGATCGACAAGAGTTAAATGTTGGGATAAAGAAACACCTGTCAGAAAATTTCAAACAAAAGAGAAACGCATAGTTGAAAACTCATCAGGGTATTTTCAACTACACTTGGCTGCAAGAGCAGGGGCTGCGCATTGCTCTGTTATTCGTAGACAAAAATCGTGATTGCCATTGTAAAAAGTCAAAAAAAAAATGGACGAAAAAGTCGATGATAATTTTGATGATATTTTTTTCATGTGTACGTACAGGTGCCTTTTCTGCCTGGTGCATACGGCATTGACGAATTCCACAAGAAATTGGAGGATTTTCTGTTCACCAAGTACCGGGCGCGGCCCCACTGGAGCAAGAACAACTTTTTGAGCTTCAACAGGGTGGAGAGGCTCTATCCTTACTTGGACAAGTGGAGGCGCGTCTACACGCTTTTCAACCGCGACGGTACGTTCGACAACGAGTTCACCCGAAAATGCGGCTTTGATGACTTCCATCTGCAGAGGATGTCGGAGGAGTCGGAGGAGGGGGCGGGGCATGGGAGGAGTCGGGGGCGGGACAGGTCGACTGAGAGGGAAAGGCCGACTGAGGACAACTCGTCGACTGGTGATTTGCAAGACGCCGCCAAGGACTCGCCCCACATTTGCCGTTGCTCGTCCGGAGGATGTGGCAGCACGGACGTGATCGTCACGCAGCCACGGCCGTCAACTCCACCACCAAACAGCAGTCGGGTGCTGGAGGCCGGCGAAATCACTGTAGAGAGGACAGAGGTGGCTGTTGCGAGGGATTCACGGTCCCAGCAATCTGACGGTGACGTCAGCCGGTAACAAAGAGTTGCATTGTAGGGGCCTGTACAGGTGGTGCACAGTGCAACCGGCTGGGTCACAACTCCTAGTATCCGATTGAGCTGAGAAACTTTGAAATCACTTTACCAAAGCCCCAAGGCATTTAATTTTTTTCTGCAGGGGATAGAACTATATTGAGACAGAAACTGAAGGTCATTATTGAGACAATTAAACAAAAACATCGTGTATATAAAGGCTGCCTTTATATTGCGTCTGCCCTTCGACGGGCACCCTCTGAACATCAGGACGAGTGTAATTATTCGTGTGCTGATGTACAATATGAGAGCCAGTTCAGGCAGCGTGTTTTAACAAAAACAAATCGTTGGTGCCCGACCACAGATACTTGTTCTTCTAACCAAAATGATCCTTTACCAGTCAATATGATTATGCAGGGCAATCGGCTGTCAACTCTAGTTCCTTAGTGTGTAAAGGGTACCAGACCTTCAAGCTTTACTACCGCATAATGTGTCACGGTATCACTGCATACTACTCCTCTGCTTGGGCACACGTGCTAGCAAGCTACCTCGACCCACATTTTATTTCGGTCATAATTAATCATTCTTGAAACCAGTTTAATGTTGCATTTACTTCTATTAAGCCATTATGGCGGTTTCCCGCACATTTCAATGACCACGGGTGCGGAAAATAGATTGTTTAACTTAAGTTCCACTCTCCACCCACATGTCTAGCCGAACTCACCAACCCCTAAATAGAAGCACCAAATTGTTTTAAGTGTGCTAACGCTAACCGCCACTTGTAATTACCATCATTTATTTTTTGGCGATAGGCTTACACCCGGGCCGGGTTACCCAAACAAAATCTCCGCCGTGTGTCCCCCTGACCCTCCCCGTAACAGTGCTATGGGTGTTGTGTATAAGGAGCAGTTGTAGCGGCGTTGCTCGAAGTAATACCGCGCCGCTCCCTAAAATTGCCGGGGAGTAGGCCTGCATGAGGTTCGGCGAGCCGCCTACTAAGAACTTGTAAGAACTTGCTTGTCCAGTGGCAAAAATCTGTCATCGTGTGACGCGTATAGGCGACGGTACTACTGTCGCGCCTCGAGACTGTTTTTCTCCCGAGTTCCAACGTAATTATTTCAGGTCGTGGTTGGCTAACCTATTGAAAGATTTTTGGCCGTCTTTCATCGGTGGCGGTTCGCGTGTCTTTGGTCATGACGCTTTTGTGAGAGGACTGGGAACAAGTTTTTGAAATTCGTACTTGGCACTAAATTGATAAGAGCATACATTTAAACATACAAGTTATGTCAAAATGTGAATAATAACAACAACAAGTCGACCCAGTTTGGGGAATAAGCGCATTACACTCATTCAAATAAAACAAGTTCTGAAATTGTTCCACACTTTGACCACCCATCAAGCGATTTAATATTACGCTCCGCCCATCAATGGACCACTTCTTTGAAGCACAGTAGAGTATCGTTTACGTTAATGTTGTTAAGAGATTTGAAGTCTTTATGAAGTCTTAACTAAACAGTAACTGATTGAAATTACTCCGTATTCAGCTCAATGTTTTGAGTCTTGTACAGCTTAAACTTCATCTCAAGAGCACCTTTTTAAACCGCTGACTGAGATAGGGAAAAAACGCTTTATCATAAAACTGAAATCGCCCAGACGGTATTGTGAATTGTTTTTTTTAGCGATGATTTATTGCAATATATTTATATTTTATGTAAAATACGATTTTTCCAATGAAAATCACGTATACGCAGTAGTGTTCGTTCTGCTTCGTAGTAAAAAAAGAACGCCTTGAAGGCGAGACTATTTAAAACAATGTACATGTATATAGATTAAAGCTCTCTGTTTCATTACACGACACACTATCTTTCAGTACCTGTATTTATATGAATTCTTTTTTTTAAGGAATTATGAATGTCATTATTATCTTAATTAAATAATTTTGTAATTTATTATGTGACTATACAAGGCTTGTGTATTATAATATACCTTTTAAAGGAAAATATGGGCGACATTGAAATTGTGTGAGTGTGGCAATGGTTTCTTTGTGTTGGTCGTGTGTTGGTAGGACCATATTGTTGATGTACCCTAACATTGCGCGGCCCCTAACGTGGCGCACTTTGATTTTTCGCTTTGATTAGCACGCCTTGCTAGAGCAAAATGCAATTTATTCCTGTTCATAAATCTTGAGTTTATCTACCCGTTACAAACTTCGGATTTGCCGGGATTTATTCAAGTGCGCCACCTTAGGGATCACTCAGCCGATTTTGTGTCCAATTTGCGGACTCCACCGTTTTTGAATTTCGGACTAAATTTCAAGACACTGAATTTTTTCACAAAGGTTCAACAGCAAACATTATAAAGGTAATACATGTAGTACCATTATTTTACTCGGAATGAATTTGAAGTTTCTCAACAAAGAAGTTTGGCAAAACTGAATGTGGAAAGTCGGGGAAACGTGGAAGTGCGCCACGTTAGGGAATACCACTTACCAGTGGGGCGAATAGGTGAAATAGAATTGTACCGTTGATGATACAAGCACGTACATTTGGCACACAGTCAGAGTGTGTTTTAAGAAACCTATTTGGCTATATAATAGGGCCAGCGCAGATTTGTCTAGTGACAAAAGTTAGATTGAATAACAAGTAATGGCAGCCATTTTGAAAATGGTCGCCATGTAACAATTGTTGACTGCTGTGATGTGGGATATGACGTTTTGAACACCGAGAAAGGGGCGCACAGCACCCGAGACGAAGCCGAGGGTGATTATGTGCCCCGAGGGTGTTCAAAACGTCATATTCCACATCACAGCAGTCAACAGTTGTTTTGTTTTACCTCTGTCTTGCATTCTTCGAATTTTCATGTAAAAATCACGAAAACAAAAAGCAGTAAACACAACATCATGACACTCGAACGTCACTGCTCACATGCATGTCGCGTGCTCGAAACAGCTGATCGTCTGCCAATTCGCTGCTCCCACTCATGCGTGAAAATATGGTGAAAATAGCGTGGGTACCAAGCAGATACAAGCGTTTCACACCGTACGTACCTTACGTACAAACAGCGGCGTCACCAGACTTTTCAGTCTGGGGGGGCACAGGGGGGGCACCAGCATTTGATGGGGGGGGGGGGGGCACTTAGGTGGATACGGATCGCCGTCCTGGGGGAGGGGTCTAAGGGGAGGGGGTGCCCCCCCTCCCCTTTGGAAAATTTTCGCATACGGAGGATGGGCTAGATGCAAAATGGTGCCACATTTGCAGCTCATTTGAAGAAAATACGAATTACTGTGCTTCTTTGTCCTTATGAAAAACCAACTCAGATGATGGGAGTTGAATATAACAAAATATATATATATTTTTTTACCAACCCAAATCTCAGATGGGGGGGCACTCGGGGGGGGCACTAGGTTTTCCAGGGGGGGCACGTGCCCCCCCTGGCCCCCCCTTGGCGACGCCACTGCGTACAAAGTCAAAGCACATAGGGATATCACGTACCGTACGTGATATCCCACAGGGAGTGTGCCATGATTTTTTATGAACGTTCTAGGCCAATGAAAATACAGTATTCAAGGCAGAGGTACAACAGTGCTTGGTATTTTACCAATATTTTGTCAAAGGGCAAATCTGCGATGACCCTATAGCCAAATATCTTTCAGAAAACATATTCTGACTGTGTACCAACTTCCAAATGCCATGCTTGTATCATCAAACGCACAATTTCTGCAACTATCCGCCGTAATGGCTGACTGACTATTCTAAATTGACACATTAGTCTAGTGTGATTTAAGGATGGGCTAACATGGACTTGTAGGTCCCCCCCCCCCCCCAAAAAAAGAAATCTAAGCCAAGCTTGTTTGTTTAAAGCACGACCATTGTTTTTGGAACCCCAAGGCCAAACATAAATTGTTGGGTTTATTTTCAGCACTCTAATGACCGATTTGGGACATAAGTGTCAGCAAGTCGATCAATCACGACCATAATAATTCCACCATCGTACACTGGTGGGTTTTGTCTTTTGGGCATGTTCTGATTTTGATTTCCTTCCTCCGGAAAAAAAACCAAGTGAGAAATTTACGGTGTGGCGAAACCTCGTAAAAGTGTCGCTTCGACCCAAATACTTGCTTTTACAACATAGCACGCAACAAGAAACCGTGTTGTTGTGGTAAAACTTGGAGTTATACGAGAGCTCGCGTGAAATCGAGGGCGGATAAAAAAAATTAGCCCTTCCAAAGAGATGTCCCAGTTCTAAATCTTTCTTTCGATTTAACAGGGCGGTGCAAAAAGAAGGATACCCACTTTTGACGGGAATTTTAACCTACTTACTTAACTTATTTGATTTTTTTTTATTATAATGTAGTGAAGTACAGCTCTTCAACCATATAAGCCTATGTGGTACAAAAAAAATCTTTACAAAAATCGCAAGAATAGTGTTATTATGCTAATTTGAATACAAGTCACCAAAATCACTGTTGTCCACGTGTGTTAAAGTCTAGTGTAGTGTTTTTTTTGTCTTAAACTGAAGCTCCGGAGCTAAGTCAAGTGGATGGAATAACGCCGTCCGTGGACAAACATGTTTGGCAATTGAATTTTTTCAACTATTCTCAGAGACAAAATATGCATTTGCAATAAATTTTTCGGCACTTATGTTTAAAGATTGATATTTAAATACCATTAAATTGAATTTTTTTTTTTTAATATGCTCAACAAGTAGGTGAAAATTGCTGTCAAAAGTGGGTTTCCTTCTTTTTGCAGCACCCTGTACAACAACAGTTTCATGATAGTTGTGCTCTATAAGTCTGAAGAGGGCAAATTTGGGACTGAAAATTCGTGGTTTTTTGGCACCTGTCAAAATATGCTTTAAAAAAATTTTTTTAACCGTGGAAAGTAAAATGAATTCGCTCGCCACTCAGCCTAAAACTCCATGTTCTTCTCATTATTTTCGAACGGCGTTTTGGTGCAACAAGGAAAGAGTTGTATAAAGCAACTTATTTCTTTGAAAATGCCATAAAAAGTCAAAGTCGTTTGCTTGCCACAACATTTTTGATGCCATGATGAGAAGAACTCTTCAGCTATTGAATGACGTTTATCTAAAGAAAACTGTTCGTCAAACAGCCGTATACTTTCAGCTCTGAAAATTAATAAACGTTTAATGTGATAATACTATCACTTATTTTCCTAAAAGAAAAATGTCAACCCTCCCAAAAGGTTTTCTGTTTGTTTTGCGAGTTAGAGATATTCACAGTTCCGGTCGGAAACCATTTTCGGTTGCGGATAAAGTCGTCCTTGTGGTTTATCTAGCGTTCTCGATCTCGTAAATATTATGCTATCGACCAACTCCCTTGTGTAATTCATATTTGCCCTGATAAAATACCTGCGGTTTAGGGGTCTGAATATTGCTTATAATTGGGTGTTTGGGGGCTCACCTTTAGCTGTTAAAAAGTTGTGTCAACGATGTGATGACAAGCTGTCGGCAGGCCGGGCCTAGCCCGCGGTCTGTGGTGTCGCCTGCTGCACACGGCCAAGGGGGAATTCGACTTCCGACCGACGACGATCGAGTAAAGGAAGTCTGTTATATCAGGGCGACAATATTAACTCGGTTTCTCGACCACAATTATGTCTTTAATTACATGTTCAAATGATTGTTACAATGGTGTTGACATATTTTAGGGGTTTATATAAATTGGCGACTTAACACTTTTGTCGTGGGGGGGGGTTGTAATTGTGTGAGAACTTTATAGGTTTAGATTCAATGTTCTCGACCGCAAGGGATTTTGGTAAGGCTTGATGTGGAATTCTTGAACTCGCCGATTATAGGGTGCACCGATTCTTCAAGTAAACAAATTCGGGCAGTTTCCTTTTATTTCTTGACAAAAGAGGACGCTATTCCACTTGTCAGGCGCGTGTTTTTTGCTGGCGAGTCAGAAAGGGGGCGCTGTACCGAAGGCCTACAAACGCCAAATTAGCCCGGGCAAGTTCAATAAAGGACTAATGGTTAACGCTAAATTTGGCAAGTTCGATCAAGGACTAAATGGTTGACGTACTTAGCACATGCGCACAGAAGTTGAAGTGCGAACGGCTCTTGTCGAACTATTGCCATGTCAACGACCGTGAGTAAATGGCGGTCGCACATCGGATAAAGAATTTTTGAACACTTGACGCTCTGTTTATTTACAAAAATAATACGAGTGTGTAGTTATTAGGACACCTTGCATAATTGCCATTACTATTGTACAACGGTGACAAAAGTGACAGAATCGTAAACTAACATGGAAAACTATTCAATGACAATTAAATTTAGCACTCACAGTTTTTGGTTTTAAGTTCCGCCATTTTTGTTGATAGGCCCTACATGTAGTTGTCCCCTCTGCACTATGCTATGAAAAAAACTTGCTATTGATAACCAGCCATCAGCCGTGGTAGGCTGGTCCTGAATAGTCGACTAGACTATAGTCTAATCATCGTAGACTAGCGTGCGTTCTATCAGAGTTAGTCGAACTATGGTTAACTAGGGCATATAAGTCCTTGATCGAACTCACTTGCCCTTAACACGTCCATTGCTTCAGCTCTCTTACAAAACGTTTTACACGAGACCTTGTTAATGTGAAAACTGGCACTTAAGAGGAGTGTAATCAGTGGCGTATTAGTAGGTTAAAGTTCCGGGGGAGGGAGGGCCACCTGGGGTGCACACATTTTTCAAGGGGCACTGAAGGGGGGGGGGGGGAGGTCCCGCCCCTCCCAGTAGTTACGCCACTGAGTGTTAGGGGTAAAGGCTGTCACAGTGCACCTACAGAAAAGAAAATCTGGAAAATAATTCTCAAATCCATCTAATAATATTTTTATTTCAACCAGTTCTTTCACAGCGTGTGCACGATTGTACAATTACCCTTTAGAAAACACCAAACAACGTCTACAGACATTTTTGATACGCGGGCCGTCAATCATCCCATTTTTTCTAACACATCCATATATCTTGCATTGAGACATTGACATAGAGTCCTTAGACAAATCTGAGGTTCAGAGGTTTCAAGTAAAACTGAAAACAGAGATTATGAAATTGTTAACCGATTGGTTAGTTCGTGGACACGTGATCCACAATGATTGCCAATGGTCGTCGTTGTCTCTTCTTCTCTATTCATGATCCGAGTTGTGGGATGTCATGTGCCTCGTCAAATGGTGGCGCTCTCGGAAGGTCTCACCGCAACGCTCACACTTGAGCTTCTCTTCGGCTCGCTTCCCGCGAAAACCGTCAGCCGATATCCCGGATGTGGACGAGGTGTTTGCAGCGCCCCCTCTGGGGATCCCGTCCGAGGACCGCTTGTGCTGCGTCCTCATGTGGTACACCAGATCGCTGGTCATCCGGAAACTGGCGTTACACTTGGCGCACCAATTGTCGTACTGACGACCGGGCACGCTGGGTGACAGCGGTAAAACACTGGTGGGCACCAGCGGCTGCTGCCATGCGAACGGCAAGGGAGAAAACTGCTCGGCGTGGGCGCCATTTTGAAAGGAGCCAAACTGCATGGCAAATGTTTCCTTGCACAGACCCGAGTTGCTTTTCATATTTTTCAGCAGGTCACACCCTGGTGCGTGGTTTTGGAAATCCGCCACTGGTGGCCGACGATTCAGGGGATGAAAAGATGATGCAGGGGATTCCTTGCCGCGTGCCATCCCGCTGCAGTGTTGGTGAGGTATGCTGGATGCAGAATGCATTGTTAGTAAGTGTTGAGTGTCATAGAACGGCTGATTAGGTACAAACTGCTTGGACACTGCCATTTCCGATCTGGAGAAATTAAAGTCATTTCTAAGCCTCTCCACTTGTGACGCTCTCCCATCACGTGGTCTCAGCTGTGTTGCGTTTGCGCATGTCTGTGGGCCCTGGGCAGGCATCTTGTGACGTTTGGGCACTTCCCGAAATGCGCTGCGTTTTCCCGAGACCTGGGCTGGCATTGCATAGGCTTGGCCGGCAGGGGGCGCTTTCAGGGGGTCGCCAGAACCGACGGCAGAGGTCGTTAATTGCGGACTGCTCACACCGCGAGAATCATTCATCTGCCTTTTACTTGGCAGGGAAACAAGGTTGTTTCGTTTTCCGGGGTCGGTTGCCCCGCTTCCGAACGATTCCAAGCCCGGAGTAATTCTGTGAGAATTTGTAGAATGCATTTCTGGCGCTCGGCCGGTGCGGAGTTTCTTTGGCAACCGATGTCCGCCCGCTGTCCACGCCTCCCCTGGAGATCCCTCACCTTCCGAGCGATTTGTGGACGTTTCGATATACTCCTTGCTTTTAAGCGCCAGTGGTCTCGCTATCATGTGATTTGAATAGAAAGTCTCCGCTTCCGTAGGCTTGTTAGCCATTGGATCAAAATTGGATGCACTTCTAGCTTTTTGACTTCTCAGTGCAAACTCCATGGCTCCTTCCTACTCCTAGTCCATCAAAAAGCGATGCTTCATATCCGTAATCCGAACAAAATGTTTGATACGATGCCCAGGCCTCATTTATTTTGTCCGTGTTATTGATCAACCGGCTCATCAAAAGTTAGATCTGCAAAAGAAAAAAAACAACAACAAACAATTCAAACTGATGGTGATTAAGATTTCAAGTCTCAAACTCTCAAACTGAATCCCTACGGAAACAATTGGTGGCGCCAAACAGAAAAGATACAGTCTGCTGGCACCAACCTTACCAAAGCTGGTAACGAATTTTGAAGAAGTACATTTATGGTAGCCAAGATATAATTCATTTCGAAACATCTGCACTCTTTTCCGTTGTTACGAGTGCTCACATTATACCTTTATCATGCTACCACCATTTCAGTCATGTTCCCTGTGTCCATGCAATAACAGTACTGAATGATGTTTTTCTTGTGCAAAAGGGAACCAGACTATTTTTCCTTTCAGCCTCGCTTTGGTTACGTTGATGTGAATGGGAAAAATCAAGATAGCTGCAACATGGTAATGGTCTATTTAAATTGGACGGTGTTTGTGAAATATCAAAAACGTGCCGTGTCGGCGCGGTTTTGCAGTTTTTCCCGCTTTTTGCATCCATACACCGGTACCTTAACTGTGACCTTCTTTTTTCACCGTTCTACGCTGTCGTGTTCTGCTGTTGAGTTATTTCTGTTGTTGAGTTGTTATGACAGGGTACGACGTCTCTCTTCAAACTGAAGATGTGAAATACTCGCCCGACAATACCGCCTCGTGCAGACTGTTCAAATCCATCAATGCAGTAGCCCAGCACAAAACATGACTACAACTATGCCCGCACCATCTACACGTAATTAATTAATGAGACAGTGATGAAAACGCGTTTAGCCCCCCTGACATCCACTATAATGTACCATCCGCTATCGCAAGGAAAAAAGAGAGGCGTATACGGCGTAACGGTTGGGCGCGTTTCGCCACCTACCACATGTTGTGCGAGTGTCAAGTCGGAACTCATACCGCCTCGTGTGGCGATGACATATTAATAGTTAATTCAGCCTATACGGGACACCCGTAGCGTGTTTCATTTTTCATCGTCTGAAAATTATAACTGATTACGTCGTAATAATAATATGACAATCTTATTTTTTGTATAAAAAAATACATTTTAAAACCAAATTTAAAATGGTATTGTCAAATAAAGGTAATATACAACATTTGCAAACATCAAAAACAAAACTACCGAATCATTATGAAAATACCTTACTTGAATGTAAGCGAATAATAGTCTCAAGCATCCTTTGAAATTAGCAAGCCAGCTAGTCTTGTTCCCTGACCTGACAATTCCCCGACATCTATAAATTGCCTCGTTTTGTCTGAAGTAGGGTCAGGACTACAAGAACAGCATATTGTTCCCCTTTCCCCAGTATCTAGGAACACACAATTTTAAACAGGTCAGTGTATAAAACATTTGCTGTAAAATACTGGCCCCCAAATCTATCCGTTTCTGAAAATTACAGCAAAAGCAAAATAATGTTGTATATTCCCTTTAAAATTCAGTCAATCCATTTCATGTAAATATGTTCCTTGATAATGATTTTGTTTCCAATACGTCAGAGCAAAGGTCGTTATTCATCAGGAATTGAATAACAATACATCATTGTTCAATTACATCATATAAATCGACGGTCCCTTTCCAGACGCGAGGAAAAGGAGTTGGGCCAAGGAGCAGTATACTTTCAGACTCAACGTTTGCTCTTATCTTATAACATATTTTTTGAAAGAAACATGCAAGCGCCAGCGCATATCAACTGCAGATGTTGTCCTTTCGAGTCCTTAATACAAAGACGTATTCGTCTTTTCTTATCATTGTGCAGTAATAATTTTCAACTTTTTCAAGTGTAACTTACCGTCGGAAATGCGATCACTGTTTAAAATCGCTTTATGCAATGAAGACATCCGTGTAACATTCAGCACAGGAGTTGGCGGATGTCGATGGCAAGTAATAATCAATCGAGTTCCAATGACGAAATCCTTGGTACCTTTTTAACGGCGCACAAACTCTTCAAAACAAGGGCACTTCAGAAGCTCAAACTCGTATGTAGGCCTATTTCTCCCTTGGACATTTTCCCAACACCAATTGACGTGAAAAAAATGCGATTTTGTGGCGATGCCTTTTCGCAATCTCCTCTTCAACCTTGTCAGTGTTGGCTACAGATTGGCTGAAGATTATTGCTGCTCGGCATACTTTTCCAGTCGATTGGTACAATTTCCACTGCCGTTTCAGGAAACTATGTAGCTGAAAATGTATGCTAACGATCGCATTATTTCCCGCCAAATACGGTGCCACGCGGACGTCGAGCAGTGATGAACTGATAGATAGTCCAACTCCAGCGGCCGGTACGAACAGATTGTCAGTGCTGGAGAATCCGCTGCTAGCTTTTATCGGTCTGCCAGCTGAGTGCACCGTGCCCTCAAGCTTTCATCTCCGTAACTGATGATTGGTTTGGGGGCCTATATGCTTCCTTTATACAAAGTGAATCCGTGCTATCAGTGTCAGACGATATTGCATGCACTTCACTACGCGTCAAAAAAAGAGAGGGGTTTAGAGCGGGTCTCCGGGCGGGGGATTAGTTTTGCGTTTTTGTCGTCGGCCGGCCGTCAACACGCGCGTGCGCCGTCGCCATCTTATAAATGTTTGACCTCAACCAATCAGATCGTGCCTTGTTAACCGCGTTTGAGATGACAATTTGACGTCCAATCAAAAAACCTTTCATTTAAATGATGGTTGAGAGTGACTGAAATATGTCGGTTTCGGCAAACTAGGCCTACATGCGATAATTTTGGCAGTGGAACAAAAATGCAATCGGCAAAAATTGTACATTTTGTATTCCTTTTTGCAACGAAAATATATTTATGCAAACTAATCTGCCGAGCCTTTGCTCTGTAGCCTACCTTACGAATTAATGTTCAGAGCCTGTAGGGTATACCTTACACGTTGTAATGCACGGAATTTGCCCGTAACCGACTTTTTCTTTTAATTTAATAATTTCCTGGGTTTTGAACCTGCTGCGTTTCACGTCTTTGATTTGTCCTTGCACTTTCACCGTTAGTATATGTTTCGCCAAAGATGAGTTGAATTTCAGAATGACTCTCGCTAAACATGCACAACTGATTGAAAGCTAAGCCCTCCAAATTGGCTTGTATTTTCACATCAGATGAGAAGAGATTCTTTTCAATACAACGAGTGACCTTTCCGGTCAATCCCAGGCAACTAACTGTGTCAAATCAGCAGAAATCGTGATTGAACTTCAGTTTAAAGTATAGCTCGACAAGCGACGTGAGACTGGAAAAATCGACACAATGCCGTATAAGCAGAGGGGTTGCTCAAGATGACACAGCATATGCCGGGATCGCCGCTAACTAGCTCCGAGTCGGCCGACCGACCGCCAGTGCATTACCGCAGCATATGTTGGCTCTAATTACGGGGTATAGTCTGCTCGAGTGCGCGCGGCGTGTGTTGTGCGCGGTTGACGGACGGGCGCTGCAGGGTATACGGTGGGTGAAGCAAGCGCGTCCGGACCAGACTCACGACCGGGGGGCGAGGGGGCCAGCGCGGCTGCGGGGCCCCCTAATTGATGGGTCGAGGTGGAGTGTCAGGACTAATGGCGCTGAGGGATTCATCTCCGTCCCAGTGCCATCTGCTGCCTCGGTTCTGCCTCGTCAAACTCTCCCTGTCTCCAAAGTGAAGAAATTGTACTTGTCACCGTCATCATCATCTTCTTTGTCATCGTCTCCACGAGGAAATACTCGCAGAACAACGAATATAGGCCATAACGTATACCGAATAACAGGGCTTTTAGTTTGGGGTAATTAAATAATTCAATGCAAACACAATCGTATAGCAGACGGTAAAGGGCTATGAGTTATAAAACCGCAAATTGAATTGGCAAGCATAATTTTCCGTAAATTGTTTTAACAGATTCTTTTTGTTTATTCACTTTTTTTTGCGAAAACTGTGCAGTGCCTTTTTGTATAGACCATGTTCTCAAGCATATTGCTTATTTAAAGGTGCCGTAAAATGTACCAAGAATGTCATAAAATGTAACCAAAATATGGAAACATTGGGCCCTACAATCTTCTGAATATGTAACCCAGTGAGAAGCATTTGGTGTATTTTTGGTACCAGAGGTAAGATGAAACGTCTGGTTTGGACGTTGGGGTTGTTGAGTGTCGGGCCCCAGGCCTATGTATTTTTTATGACTCATTTTGTCAGGGAACCGCTATCCCCTCAACCAAATCTAAAACTTAAGAAATATAATGTTATTCGAGACTTAGTAAAAAAAAACACACACATCTTGTATTTAGAGGGTAAGCCCGTAGATAAAGACGCGTAAGATGCATTGAAGTATAACACGGGATTTCAAAATTTGCGTGATTAAGCTTTCTCAAGCATTATTTATATAGACGCATTTTTAGAACATCAAAAGTAATGGCTTTTAAATTCCACGCTCAATTTATAAAAGACATTATATCTGATAGAATTACTTTACAATAATCAAAGAAACGTGACCAAAAAAAAACCCTCCCAAAAGAAACCTAAAAATTAACGACCCAAAATAATCAAGGCAACCGTAGGCCTAGGCCTATACCTTCTTACCTCCCAAATTGATTTTGTAACTGGTTGACAGTAATGATTATCTTACATTTTACATTATGTGTGAACTTATCCCACTACCGTACAGATATTTGTAAGAACATTTATATATTCCTTCAAACCGTTTGGCCAGGACAGAAGAAGACCAACCGGGTGTGCTATGCAGTCATGTCCCCACTCCCAGTAGTAGGCCTATATTAGGCTAATGAGAATCGTGGTAATGACACCGAGAAGGGGGTTGAGTGTCTGAGTCTAGTCTAGCCGGAGTCCAGACGATAAAACTATGCATGGAGATGATTGGGTTGTCAGTTAGCGAGGAGACGCAATCAGC